AAAAAAAAAAAAAAAAAAAGGAATTTTTTGCTGATTCATGGATTCACACGGGCTGCATAGCATTTGTGTGATTAGCATTATCCAATTAAAGCGATGAATTCTGTTAACTTTTAGGTGGTGTAAGTTGTTTGACCTGCAGTTGCTAAATGTTAATATTAGCAGTCGCAATACGGCAAAATTTTGTTTCCTTGTGATGGATAAATATTATTGAACAATCTGTTAGGACCTTAAGTTAATATAAAGACGGTTTCTTGATGTATACTTGTGATATAGGATGTGATGTGTGCTAGTAATATAGGACTTTTGTGGGTGGAGATTTTCGGCCCCTTAAGGCATCATCAATGGGCCTGACATTGAGAAAGAGTGGAATCATAGTTAGTGAAAATTCCCTGAATAGTGTGGCTTGTTAGAGAATGAAGCTTTAGAAATGTACAGCAGAATACTGTTAACGTGTTCAATCATTTTCTGCGCAGATGTTAATCTTTTTAGCCGTGCATATGCATGTTTAGTTAGTTAATTAGTTGGTAAATAGTGTCACTTTTGTTTTCGTTGTTTGTCTTGCTAGAGTCGCGTTTATTACTTAAAAGAAAATGTCTTTTATTTTCCTGTGGAAGTAGATAGGGCTACGTGTGTTTTTGTAACTGGCTTTCGCAGCCCTCAGGTGAGACGAGCATGAGTATATAACTGCAGTTGCTAAATGTTATTATTAGAGGTGGTAATTCTGCCAAATTTTGTTACCTTGTAATGGATAAATATTATTGCAACAATCTTTTAGGACCTTAAGTTAATGTAAAGACTGTTTCTTGATGTATACTTGTGATATCGGATGTGATGTGTGCTAGTAATATAGGACTTTCGTGGCTGGAGATTTTCGTCCCCTTAAGGCATCATCAATGGATCTGACATTGGGAAAGAGTGGAATTGTAGTTAGTGCAAATTCCTCGAATAGTGTAGCTTGTTAGAGAGTAAGCTATAGAAAAGTATAGCAGAATACTGTTGGACAGTTGGAGTGTACAATCATATTCTGTGCAGATGTTAGTCTTTTTAGTCTTGCCTGTGCATGTTTAGTTTGTTAATTAGTTGTAATTAGTGTGGCTTTTATTTTCGTTGTTCCCCTTGCTAGAGTCGCGTTTTTTGCTTAAAGAAATGTCTTTCATTTTCCTGTGAAAGTAGAGAGGGTCACGTTTCTTTTTGTAACTAGCTTTCCCAGCCCTTAGGTGAGATGAGCATGAGTATATAACTGCATGCCGTCGTCTTCCTCAAAATGACTTGGAATATTGATAAGAAAATATGAGAAAATTTCTAAACTTCTCTGAGTAAAATGTGTTCCGTTTGCTAGCTCTACAATTACACAGTGCAAAGTCATACAATATTAGAAGTGGTAAGACCACAGCCTTTGACAGGAAGATCTTTTCAAACCATTCTTGAGGAGAACTAGATTTGTTGGGCCTCTATCCTCATATACCATAGTGCCATTGGCGGAATATAGTATATGTTGATGCCCTACTTCATAATCCGTACCTAGAATATTTGGTGCTTTTGTTATCATGGTAATTTGGTCTTTTTTTCCTACACACACACACACGCACACACACACATAAACACGCACACATATATCAGATTTCTTTTGAACTTTATAATATCCCTACATGTATATCATTTGTCACTGGAGATTGACTGGGTTAATTGCAGAAAGAGCTGGATGGAATTCTGAGGGATTATGTTGGAAGAGAAACCCCTCTTTACTTTGCAGAAAGGCTCACAGAGCACTACAAAAGACCTGATGGTAAAGGGCCTCATATATACCTGAAAAGAGAAGACTTGAATCACACTGGGGCCCACAAAATCAACAACGCCATCGCCCAAGCTTTGCTTGCAAAGCGTCTTGGCAAGTTGCGTATCATTGCCGAAACCGGGGCTGGTCAGCATGGTGTTGCCACAGCCACCGTTTGTGCTCGGTTCGGGCTGCAGTGTGTTATCTACATGGGTGCTCAAGATATGGAGAGACAAAAGCTCAATGTCTTCAGGATGCGTCTTCTTGGTGCCGAGGTCTATTCACTTCGAAGCTTTCAGTCATCAGTATACACTAATTTTACATGCTTTATGCTTGCTTTTCTGATCCACGGACTTTATGATTTCTCATGACTTAGAAATATGTCCTGGGAATCAATTTGTAATAAAATTTACCTATATTAATTTATTGAAAATGTTATATGAAATTTAATTTGTTCAAGATACATAATGAGACTACTTCCATTTCTCTTGATTTTGTGGCCCATCTTGAAATACGTCATTAGCAATCAACGTGCCAGAACCGTGACTTTTGCTCCTTTCTCTTCCTTTTGTTTTGAGCCATTTTTGTGTTTCTCTTACCATTGGTTCTCTTGGGTTTCATCTCTAGCCTACCCCAACTTGCTTGGGACTAAAAGGCTATGTTGTTGTTGTTGTTGTTGTTGCTTGAAATACGTCATCATCGTTATCATATATCCCTACTTTTTTAATTTTGTTTTCTTCTTTCGTAAATTGAATGCAGGTTAGACCAGTTCACTCAGGGACGGCAACCCTGAAGGATGCCACATCCGAAGCTATACGCGATTGGGTCACCAATGTGGAATCTACTCATTACATACTCGGATCAGTTGCCGGGCCCCATCCGTACCCTATGATGGTCAGGGAGTTTCATGCTGTTATCGGCAAGGAAACCAGGAAGCAGGCCTTGCAGAAATGGGGGGGAAAGCCCGACGTGCTCGTTGCTTGTGTTGGCGGAGGATCAAATGCCATCGGGCTCTTTCATGAGTTTGTGGAGGACAAGGACGTTAGGCTCATTGGTGTTGAGGCTGCTGGTTTCGGCTTG